AGGATCTTGGACGAATCTGTAATAGTCTAACTCTCCACAGCTGCTGAAGTAAATCACTGGAACGCTCATAACAAAGGTGTAGCTTTTCTGTGGGTTTACAGTCCCCCTGTTGGCCAAGCATCACATTTTGTATGCTTGACAAATATTGTCTCATGTCCCTTGGTACTATAAAGGCTTGCTCCCAGGATCTGCTGTAGAAGAGGCTGAATACGCAAGAAGTCAGTGTCCAGAGGAAGGCACTGTAAAGATGTTGAGTGAGAAATCCATGCATCATATTAAATGAACTAGCTGTCATGAACTAGGTCTGACTTTTCTCTTTTGCCCTATATATCTGACATAACACTTATCTGTGACATATAATGGGAATATTATATTTAAAGTTAAAATAAGAACACAGTGAGACTCAAAAAAGTAAAGCTAGCAGATGAGGGAAACATTTTAATTTGAATAAGAAGAGTTAACCCAAATCTTTGGAGGTCTCTAATTAGAATAATGGGTTAACATTCTTTTAAGGTTGTCAGACATCTGAGTATGTTATTGAGCTTTTTAGAACACTTAATTAGTTGTATCTTAATATTTTTAATATCAATGAAACAGGAATCCAACTGGTTTAATCCACTTAATATTTTCATTATTTTATTTATTTTGTTTTTTTTTTTTAGTAGGAAAGTTTGATTTAGGCTCTAAGAGTTTCATTTTAAATAGAGATACCCTCTCAAATGGAGTTCATTAAAATAAGTTTTTATCAGTTTTAAACTAGAAATGATCTATATTAGACTGAACAATGAGAATCCTTTTACAAAGGCAGTAGAAAACCTTGAATATATTTTTCCCATGTATTTGTGGGCAGTGTGCATGTTTTCATGTGTATGCACATGTGTATGTGCAGGTGTCCATGCACATATGTGCACATGTGTGTAGTCTGATGATGTCAGGAGTCTTCCTTGCTCATTCGTTGGGGCAGGATCTCTCAGTTGTACCCTGAATTCACCAATATGGTTAGTGAGGTTAGCTGGTTTGCTACAGGGACCCCCTGTCTGCCTCCCACATTGGGATTATAGTCAGGGTGCCATGTCCACCTGGCATTTACTGGGGTTCCTTGGACTATTCAGTCCCTTCCTTATGATTATGCAGCAAATGCTTTAACCACTGGCCATCACCAAAGACCTCAAAACTTGAATTTCTTGCCGGGCACGGTAGCCTTTAATCCCAGCACTTGGGAAGCAGAGGCAGGTGGATCTCTGTGAGTTTGAGGCCAGCCCAGTCTACATAGTGAGTTCCAGGCCAGCTGGGGCTACAGGGAGACCCTGTCTCAAAAAAACAAAACAAAACAAAACAAAACAAAAAAACAAAAAAACATGACTTTCTCTAAATATGAAGATTTGGTTTAAGGTAGATCTGGATAAGCAGCTACATAAAGACATAACAAGCTCTCATAACAAAGGTGTAGGACTTTAAGGACCCAATATTATCCTCATTTGTAACTTTACTAAAAATCAAGAATTGCATTATTTTTATCCTTCAGGTATATTTCAAAGGGAATCCCAAATATCTTGGACAATTTAAAAAATCTAAATATAAAATAATCAAATAACTATACAAGTACCACCCTTTCCCTCCAAGCTGAAGGGAGTCCTCTTGACTATGATGTCTTTTGCTAATTAATGAAATCACCTGGTTTTCTTTTGTCTCCTAGGAGCTCACTGTAGAAAGACTCTGTAACCAGTTCTGAATTTTTAGTTGTGTTTAAAAGTCTAATACTATATCCCTCTCTTTAATAGAGATGGCTCAAGTTATGGTTGGCTTCAGTTGTCAACTTTACACAACCAGGGAAGGGGGAACCTCAATTAGGGAATTTCCTCTATTGGGTTGTGGGCATATCTGTGAGGCATTTTCTTGATTGTTGAGTGATGTGGGAGGGCTCAGCCCACTGTGGGTGGTACCATCCCTGGACAGGTGGTCCCAAGTTATATATTGAAAGCAGGCTTGGCATAGGCCAGAGAAGCAAGCCAGTAAGCAGCATTCCTCCATGGTCTCTGCTTCAGTTCCTGCCTCCAGATTGCTGCCTTGAGCTCTTGCCCCAATTTCCTTCAATGCTGGTTTGTGACCTGGAAGTTGTAAACTGAAGTAAACCCTTTCCTTCCCAAGTTGCTTTTGGTCAGAGTGGTTTATCACAGCAACAGAAAGCAAACTAGAATGACTCATATAGGGTCTTTTTAACTTAAAATTTTAGAGGACACTTACTGTTTTTTTTTTTTTTCTTTTTCATTTTTTTCTTTCTTTTTGTCGAGACAGGATCTCACTGTGTATGGCTGCCTCTGCCTCCTGAATGCTGAGATTAAAGGTGTTCATCTCCTCTACACCTGTATTTTAGTACTTAATTTATAAACAGATTAATTGGTATTTTCCAAAAGGGGTAGATTATATACACTTAGAAAAATTAATGCGGGTGTTTGGGGCTTTATAAAAAAGCCAAAAGCTTTACCTCATTTTGAGAATTGATTAGTGCCATTTATTTACTTAACTGTTAACCAAGATGACCGATGATAATAGGCCAAATTTTGCAAATAAGCTTGAATATTTGTCCAGTAAAATAAGGTTTATGGAGATGAGAGAGATGGCTCAGTGGTTAAGAACACTAGTTGCTCTTGCAGAAGACCTGGGTCTAATTCTCAGCACCCACATGGATGCTAACAAACATCTGTAACTCCAGTTCTAGGGGATCCAATGCCCTCTTCTGGCCTCCATGGGCATTGCACAACGTGGGTGCATTTACACATACACAATACACTCATACATATAAATTTTTAAAAAATATTTATTATTTTTATTATTTTATGTGCATGAGTGAATTGCCTGCATGTATGTGAGTGCACCCATGCTGTGCAATGCCACGGAGGTCAGAAGAGGGCTTCGGATTCCCCTGGAACTGGAGTTAAGGACGGTTCGTGGCTGCCATGTGGATGCTGGGTCCTCTGCAAGAGCAGTCAGTGCTCTTAACCGCTGAGCCATACATATAAATTTAAAAAATAAAAACATGGGCTGGAGAGATGGCTCAGCAGTTAAGATTATTGGCTGTTCTTGCAAAAGACCTGGGTTTGAATCCCAGGATCCATCTGTAACTCCAGTTCTAGGGGATCTGATGTCCTCTTCTGTCTTCTTCAGGCACTGCCTGACATACAGTTACACACATGCAGGCATAACACTCATACACACAAAATAATAACAAATAAATAAAACATAAAAAATAAGTTTTATGATTATTATGCAATTCAGCAGGAATGCCCAGGTAAGAACTATTCTTTTAAATATATTTTTTTTTCTGCTGTTAAGGCAGTGGCTTTCCAGCAAGTAAAGGCTTTACCCAATGGAAAAACATACAAACTTAGCATTTGGAGAAATTTAAACATCAAGTTTTAAATGGTTTATTTAGTAAAATGATAAAGGATAAAAATTCTTGTTCTCAGAGGCAGTTTCCTAAAAATGTTATTAAGAGTAGATAAATATTTAAGAAAAGGTTACTGTTGAAAATAATCAGTCATCAGTTTTATATTAAGGTATTGAATTTTGATGTTAGGAATTTTAATAATCTTTAATTATAGTTATATTAGTTATAACCATGTCAACTTTCTTTAAGTTTTGCAACCATTTTTATTCCACCTCCTGCAAAGAACAGCAGTGTGCACCAGCAGGGTATAGCAGTTCCAAGGCAACTTTTTCTGTTTATCGTTCCACTTCCTCTGTGCTACAATGAAATGACAGGTGTTCTGGAAAAATCAGAGACCAACGGCCGAAGTCAGGTGAGGAGAGGAAGTTTAATTTGATGCTAGCTAGCAGGACTGATACCATGAATAAAGGAGTCAGACCCCCTGTTCAAGTTTTGGGGTTCTTTTTTATACTCATGTGAGGAATGCAAGCAAAAGGTACATAACATATACATGGTAATTAAGTATGATAACAGAGTGCAGCAAACGTAATAGAAATGCAAAGTTTACAGGAATGCAAAACCTTCGGTCTATACAAGAATGTGATAGCTTTGGAAAACAAAGACTTCTTATCCTGGATAACCAAAGGGGACAGGAGAAGATTCCAGTTTACTTCCTCATTCCAAGAGTTCTTAATTATCATCACATTGCAAAATCGTTTAGCATCTGATAAGTTTTACATCCATAATACAGGGGATAAGAAATGTGTGGAGGGGGACAGAGAGTGGTGACAAGTACTGGACTAGGAAAAGTGTTACTGGAAATTTGTTTTAGGAGTTCTGCCAGCTTCACCACATGGATTCTGGGGAAATCAGGGTCTGTTCTTGGGGTTCTTAGTCTCATTAATGAAAGAATTAAAGAATGAACTCAGAAGAAAGCTAAAAATAATTTTATTAGAGTTTAAAAGAAAAATTCCAGGGTAAGTAGCCTAAACCTTAGCAGCTGCCCAGAGGAAGTGAGGGAAGCATGCCCTTTGTAAGCAGTCATGTAGACAAGCAACCACATGGCAAGGAGGGCTTCAGAGAAAGAGTAAGAAGCTCAAAGTTTCAGAGAATGCATGCTTAGGCTTGGCCAGCATTTAAAAGAAACATTATAAAAGAAAAAGAAAAGTTATGCCTTTCTGGATCAGGACTCAGAAAGGCAACTGGACCTAAAAGTGAAGAATCGTGCTCAACACACAGGGACAAAACCAAGTTTCGGGATGCAAAAGCAAGAGGAATTTATTCATACACAGGCGCCTGCGGACGCAGAGTCCCGCTCGGGTCAGGACTTGCGTGCGTGCCGGGCTTAGTTTGGGGGGGGCTTTTTATAGAGCAGAAGCAAGGTTCAGAAGCAGATACACGGTTACAAGGTTATTATTAGTGCATTTCAATGGGTACAAGGTATGAGGAAACAGTATTGCCAAATTCAGAGGGGGCTATGGGTGAAACCGATTGTTATCGTTAACTTCCCAGTAGGGGCTGTTATCGCTAACTTCCCAGTAGGGGCCTCAGGGTGGTGCCAGGTGGTCCGACTGCAAACGCCCTATCTTCCACTGCTAGTTTCACAAGACCTGGGTTAGAATCTTGGCTTATCGAATGGCTGATTACAGTTCTTTTTCTAAAATGGCCTTCCTGCTGTCAGTCGGGTCTTTCAAAAGCATCTCCTGGTAGTTCTGTAGTGATTGTACTAGTGGTGGTAATTCTGCAAAAGAAAAGAACATTATTGGAGCTAGAGAAATGGCTTAGTGGTTAAGAACACTGACTGTTTTTTGCAGAAGACCTGGGTTCAAATCCCAGCACCCACATGGCAGCTAACAACTGTCTGTAATTCCAGTTCCAGGGGATCCAACAGTCTCGTCTATCCTCCACAGGCATTGCACGACATGGGTGCACTTACCTACATGCAGGCAATACATGTGTACACATAAATTGTGTGTGTGTATGTGTGTGTGTGTGTGTGTATTTAAAAAAGAAAAGAACATTATCTCACTAAAAGGGTAATCCTTCTCTTCTTTAGCATAGGTTCTGTCTTCCTCAGGTGGTCCCTTAGCCCAAATGGAATGTTAGGTCTCCACCCAGGTCAGAGAGTCCATTCTCTTGACCAGAAATGGTCTTTCCCTTAATGGTCTTCACTGCAGCTGTAACAAAGGAGTGTGAGGAAAATGAAATGAGGGCTTTTTTTATAGTGTCAAAGGAAGGAAAGTAGCCCTTTATCTTTGCAGAAAGGTCTAAAGGAACTCAGTTTTCAGGACAACTCAATTGGCTACCAGGAGCTTCCCAGTTTGGGAGAGACTAAAAGACACCAGGAGACGAAGGGAATTGTGTTGAGTAAGGGATCTTAGACCACTTGTCAGGGTGAAGAGGGCAATAAAAAAAGTGGGGAGAAATCTTTTCATTGGTGAGATTGGTACTCATTAGAGAGTCATTAGAGAGTGAATCAAGCATCTCTTAAAAAAGAGAAAGTAGGAAATGAATTTCTTTATGTGCTTTAAGTTCCCTTTCAGAAGTACAATAAAGTTACAAAGGGGAACAAGCTGAAGTCTCAACATCCCAGTAAGTCAGCAGATTGGGGCAAAGGGTCTGGTAGCATCTGTGACCTAGTCTTAGGGTTTTAGGTTTATGGTCAGTGGTTTGTCAGAGGTCCTTAGAGAAGAGCCAGGGAGATTTACCAGATGAAGAGAAAAGGTAGGAGAAGAGCCAGAAGCCTGGTGGAGGAAAAAGGCAAAAAAGAGGGGCAAGAAGCACCTTTTGGGGATAGGCAACAGAACTGGCAGGAGAAATCCTGCTAATGGAGAACAAAAATTTGTGGTAGACAAAGCCTTGGCAGGAAGGGGCAAGAAGCCTCTATTCTGAGGAAGAGACAAAAAGCCTTGATGAGAGGGTCCCAAAGCCCCTAGGGCAGAAAAAGGAGCCTGCAGTGAGAAGGGTGGGAAGCCTCCTACGATAGTGCTGGCACTTGACAGAATTTGGACTTACCCAGGAGACAACGCCTCTAGGCAAACCTGTGAGGAATTATTTAGTCTCTGGGCATTGCTTTGTGGGAAGGGGACATCTTGATTAGGTTAACTGAGATAGGAAGATGATGATACTAATCTCTGGATGGTATCTGAGACTATATAAAAAGGAGAAAGTGAGCTCAGCATGGTATTCATCACTCTATCTTTCCTGGTTCTGTTAGTTACTTTCTGATGCATGGAGATAAAATACAATGACCAAAGTGACTTATAGAAGGAAGAATTTACTTAGCTTATGGTTCCAAAGGGATGAGTCCATCATGGAAGGGAAGCATGGTGGCAGCAGTGGCAAGAGCATAAAGCTGAATGCTCACATGTTCAAGCAAGCACAAGAAGTAGAGAGAACAAGCTCAAAGTGGTGTAAGGCTATGAGGTCTCAAAGTCCATACTCAGTTATGTTCTTCCTCCAACAAGGCCACACTTCCTAAAGGTTCCATTTTCTTCCCCAAACAATGCCACCAACTCACAAAGTACTCAAATATTTAGACCCTATGGAGTTACATTCTCAATGAAACCAACACATTCCATTCCCTGGCCCCCATAGTCTCATGGCCATATCATAATGTGAAATGTATTTAGTCCAACTTTAAACATTTCCATAGTCTTTAACAGTCTCACTGGCTATGGAAGCAATGTTGTCAGCTGCCTCAAGCTCCTGCCTTCAAGAATTCCCTTCAAGATATCCTGTACTCTTGCACTGGGAGCCAAAATAAACACTTTCTTCCTGAAGCTGTTTTTCTGTCAGGGTATTTTTTAATTAATTAATTTTATTTTGTTTTATTTTATTTTATTTATGTGTATGAGTGTTTTGCCTGCATGTATGTAAGTGTACCTGTGTCATGCAATGCCTGTGAAGGCCAGAAGAGGGCACTGAATTCCCTGGAGCTGCAGTTATAGTTGTTAGCCACCATGTGAGTGTTGGGAACTGATCCTTTGCAAGATCAGCCAGTGCTCTTAACTGCTGAGCCATCTCTCCAGCTCATCTGTCAGGGTATTTTATCACAACAACAAGAGTAACTTAGATACCTCCCACAGGTTGATTCATCTTGGCTTATCTCTGAAGTGATCAATTTCAGCACCAAATGTTAGGATATAGGGTGAGGAGAGGAAATATGTTTGAAAGAAAGGTGCTGAGACGAACCCCTTCAGATGAGAGCTGTATTAAGAGAGTTATTAATACCACAGACAGGATGGCGGAAGGCCAAAGTAAGAGAGAGTCTTTAATCTTGCCAGACAATGTGGAATACCTACTTGTAAAGGCTTCCAAAAGAGGAAGGAGTTCCTCCACCATTAAGCAGCTTGGTTAACACGTGGTCTGCGCTACGTCCTTCAGGCAGGTTGTCTTCCATTTCTGGGTGGCAGGTGGAGAGAGGATGTGACTCTTTGTAAGAGCGGTAGATGTTCTGTCAGCTCTTCATAGCAGCAGCTGGAAGGGAAAGAACCTGCAGGAGAGTGTGGCCTGATCTGTGAGACAACAGCTCTTGAAGAGTGTGTTCTGACACCTTCTTGCTAAAGTAACCTGAGTAAAAATTTTAAACACACAATCACTTAATTCAAACGATGTTCTTGTGCATAAAAATTTTGTATCCTTTACAGATGGCCTTGAGGGCCCTTAACTTCATTTATCTATTCATCTTAAATAACTTCAGTGGTAATAAATCTTCCTCCAGAGAAGAGAGCTAACATTTTGTTTTTAAGACAGGGTCTTGCTACATCTCAGGCTGACCTCAAATTTATGGGGTTCCTCTTGCCTTCAAAATGCTGGTATTACAGGGGAATATCACCATATCTTGTTCACAGTTAATTTTTTACAAAACAAAATTCATTCATGACCAGTTGGGGTATATAGTGATATACTACATATCTACTGCTGCATAACAAACCACCCAACAACAATAGCTCTATATTTAGATAGAGCATGATTCTGTGACCTGGCAGTTGGGGCTGGACTGAACTGGGTGGTTCTGGTTTTGTCAAGTCTCAGTGACATGCCTGGCTATTGATTCAACCTTTGAAATGACAGAGGTGACAACTATACAATCTCTCATTAGTAGGCTGGTCTGTCTTGTTTATGTGATGGTCCAGCAGGTTCCAAATTAGAAAGGAGAAACATGCCAAGGCTTCTTAAGGACCACACTAGGGACTAGAACATCTTTCTGCCATCTTCTATTGGCCAAATCCACACACAGATTCAAGGAATGAAAAATAGATCTAACATTTTGATGAAGAAGATTGCAAATTCATACTACACAGGATATGAACATAGAAAGGGATGGAAAATTGTGGCCACCCTTACAATCTAAAACAAATGTAACTCAGCTGATTAGTGCTGCTTTGGGTTTTAAAAACTCCAAGTCTCCAGGGCTATAAAGATCTATCAGTAGGTAAGAGCACTGTCTATTCTTGCAGAAGACTTGGGTTTGGTTCCCAGTGCCCACATGGTGCCTAACATCCATCCTTCCCCCAGCTCCAAGAGATCCAATTCCCTCTTCTGGCCTCTATGAGCATTACATGACATGGGTGGTACAGTACTTACCTAGCATGCATGAAGCCTTACGTCCTATCCCCAGCACTGCAAAAACAAACAAACAAACCCTTTTTAAAGTCTTGTTTTCATGGAAAATAGACTCCTAACATCATTTCAAAAGAGTACACCAAGACTGAGGTAAAACTTGGTGGTAGAGCATGACCCTAGCATGTCAGCTTATTCACTCTTCTAGTCTCTGCTCAATTTCTTTTTGAAATCTCCCACAGCCACCTTATCTAGGACAGTGTCTTTTATTCTCAAGCTCACATCTTCCAGCACTCTTTAGTCCCATTCTCTGCTTTTCTGTTTCTTTTTTAGACAGGGTCTCATATGTAGCCTTGGCTAGACTGACTTGACATGTAGACCAGGCTAGCCTTGGACTTTTCATGATTCTCCCATCTTTGTCTTCTAAGATTACAGATGTGAACCACCATTTGTGACCTTTCTTAATCTTTTGCACTATAACACTTTATTTTGGTATGTTTTCTTCCAACTCTAACTAGATTATATAATCTGTAAGAACAAGGATCTGCTATTTTATTTATAACTATTTTTAGGCCCCTGTATAGTATCTGGTGTTAAGTGGGGGACTGAAAGTAGAAAGAGGAAGATTACAAATATGTAAATCATTTATTTTAAAATTGACCAATCAGGCAAGGATGTGGAGAAAGGGGAGCGCTCATTCACTGCTGGTGGGATTGCAAACTCGTGCAACCTCTATGGAAAACAGTGTGGAAAACTCTTAAACTAAACTCTTAAACTAAAAATGAACCTAAAATACGCTCCAGTGTCCTAGTTCGTTCTTCATTGCTGTGACAAAATACTCTGACCAATTCCAACTTGGGGAGGAAAGGGTTTATTTGTCTTATATCTCCCAGGTCGCAGTTCATCAGGGAGCCCAAGGTAGAAACTCAGGGCAGAAACCTGGAGGCAGGAGCTGGAGCACAGACCATGGAGGAATGCTGCTTACTGGCTTGCTCCCTTGGCCCCTGCTCAGCATGCTTTCTTATGCAACACAGGCCCACCTGCCCAGGGGTGGCACCACCCACAGTGGGCTGGGCCCTCCCACATCACTCATCAAGAAGATGCCCTTCAGACATGGCAACAGGCCAGTCCAATAGAAGCAATTTCCTGATTGAGGCTCCCTCAACCCAGAAGTGTCAAGTTGACACTAAAGCTATTCAGCACAATTGACCCCTTGTCAACTTGACACACTAACACATCACTATTAAACCATAAACGTTCCAATTCTTGTCCCCAAGATATGATGTTAACATTAATATCACAACATA